ATTTTATGGTATGAAAACCTCATAAGCTTCTGTTCTAACTTATTTACAAGCTCCCTTCTCCCAGGAGCTTTTCTCATTCAGTATCTGCTGTCTAACTTTCCTTTTGCACTCCCTGTTCCATTCATTGCTGACATGTAACATGAATTTGTACATTTAAGAAACAGGAATGCATTATATAATAACATTTCAATTTAGTGTCCATAAAAGCTAACATGTGGAAACAAGTGAAATGTCTACAAATTAATGAACAACCAATATTTTAAACTTTCCATAATTATATTAGTTCATAAATAGGAAGATTTTCTTGAAAAAAAAAAATCACAGTCTCTCGTAAATGCCATGCAGAAAAGAGAGACAGCTACAATGCTGAATTGTCCACTGACACAAAATGGCCAGAATACAAAAATGAACAGAGTACACAGTAGGTAAGTCATTCATATGGTTTGGAAAACAGAAGAAATAAGGAAGCTAGGTTTTTAGAAGAAAAACAAAACGTTCTAAATGAACTAGGCTGTTTCCTATATATAATTTTAAGTAAATGAATCAAACAGCAAGTTATATTTCAGTAAAATTGGCAATCTCCACTTAACAAACCTCAAAACTTCTGGTGAGAGTTTGATGGGAAAGGCCTTCTTCCTGTTGTTTTGCTGATCTTTTTCCCTTAGTATAAAAGAGACAGCACCCTTCAGGTTCTATGTGAGGGACTGTGGAGTCTCCTTAGCATTATTTCAGTACTTAGGCTGGAAAGAACTAACAAAGGCAGATCAGAGAGTTTGCCAATTGCAGCGAGGTAAATTATATTTCAAAAGCAGGCAATCTGCATCCCTCAGCACAGCAGACCATGAAGATAGCAGACAAAATGATCAAATAGGTGAAGTCAGTGGGAACTGAGCAACTGATGACACCGCAAGCATGGTAAGTAGGATCTCTGCTCTGTACAGGGCCTGTCCTGATGGAAATTGTGGCAGGGAACATCTTGGGTAACATTAGCCTCACACAAGGCAGCAGAGACACATACTATTTTCAACACACTTTCCATAACTCAACGCACGGTTAGAGGAATCCACAAGGCACACAGTCTCACAGGTTAAAATGCATACTGTAACACCGTCAGATGAACAGACATATACTAGACATAGTCCATAACACTTAGCAAGAATGGAAATTAGCAAAGCGGAAAGAAGAAGAACATCTGGTGAGACCAGGGCACACAGGTGATACAGGAATAGAGACATAAGATGCTGACTACCACTGAGGATGACACTGAACATAATGCGAGAGATGGGAGAAGCAGACAAGAGTATGTGGATGGGCAGGATCTACATTCACTCCAAATAGTACTCTGGCGAGCAGACTCCCTGCAGTGCAAACAAGTCATCAGCAAGGACAGCAAGAAGGGAGCTGACTAGAGCAGTCATGGGAAAGCCAAAGCAACCTGAGACAAGGTCCAGTATTTCTCAACAAGCATGCTTAATGTATCTGCTGAGATTCAAACCAGAATGAAGATACAACGGTTAAATGTGAATTGTGACACAGACCAAAGAGCAACTTCAAAACCCTATACTGCTGAGCAACTTGCTAAGCCTTACGCTGTCCTTTGAATTATAATAGCCTTGAAAATGACTGCAGTAAAAACTAAAAATGAGATCAATACATGAAGTCCTTAAGCCAGAGTAGAACAAATCATTAGGATGTGTTAACACTGACTGCAGGATAAGGCATGCAATTGGAACACTGCAAACAGGCCTGAGTTATCAGGGTGTAAGACTTCCCATAGTAAGCATGTTCTAGAAAATGCATATTTCATTTGGGTATTTAGTAAAATGTATTCTGAGAGTGTTCATCTTTTCATTGATTACTTCAATGTTCTGCTTTCCTTTCAGTCAATATATCAACATCCCATCCAGAAATCTGATTTTTGATTGAATGAAAAATGTAAGGAGATGGTAACTGGCATACACTTGCAAACTCAGCTTCTTGGGAGACTAAAGCAAGGGGATCACAGTTTAAAGGTTGAGATTGCTATTTAGCAGGAGACTGCATTGTAGTCATAGGACACTAGCATCAAATTGCAAAAATCTTATAAAATTTCCCTGAAAATTCAAGAAGTAAGTGCATCTTCACTCAAACCAAAACAGACCAACCTCAATCAATATACATCTATACATACTTTTACTGGCAAATTTACCACCCATCAGAAATACAATTAGAAATTGTTCATACTAATAAAATAATCATTACTATGTATACTTTCGTTGTGAATAAACAAGAAATGGACCTTGGCTCAAAAAATATATACTGACAAAAAAATTATATAAGAAATTTTCCTTCATTTACAATACATAAATGTTACGTAGACTCTAATACAAAAATAGTATAAATGTTAGGCAAGTGTTATCCTTACAATGTCAGTTTGCTTTTATTGCTCAAAGGAGGGATAGAATACTTGACTGCCCTCATACTGAGCATCCAGTTTAACGCTGAAGTAACTGTTATTTCACTCATGTGGTTTAAATGTGAAATACACATTTTTCATTTTCTTAAATAGTTCAGGCTGGCCTTGAACTTGGTAGGCAGCCCAGGATGGCCTCAAACTTCTTATCCTCCCACTGAGTCACAAGTGCTGTGATTTCAGGACTGAGTCACCATGCATTGCCCTAAACATAACCCACTCAAGTTTTTAGTTGAATATTAATGAAAATATTTAAAAATAATTATTAATAGATTCAAAGGTACAAGAATGATCCCATATTATGTGAATATAATGAACTTGTAGGGAATGACCTATATTTTCAAAAATACATTTTATTTAGAAGTTTGAGCTTTTCAAAGTTTTTGCAAATACTTCTAAATTCTGCATTGAAAGTTGTCAGCTAGATGGCCCAAACTGCTGCTTCATTCACTCTGTGTCCACACGTTTTTTTTAAAAAGAAAATTCCTTCTCTCAAATCACTGTAATACCAGAAATGATCTCATATAGCACTAAATATTATTATAGCCAACTTTAAAGGTTATTACAAATTATATTCAAAAATATTTTAATGTCTGAAAAATTTCCCAAAGTAGCTCCAAGAATCTGAAGAGAAACCAAGTGCTGAAAAGCTTGTTGTGGCGGTATTTAGCAAACTGACAATGAACTCTTTAGTGCTTGTTTGTATTCTGTTCCTGTGTGCTTTGCAGCCCACCACCATGGGGACCTTGGCATCCCATGACCTCCAGGAAAGATTGGAATGCAATATTTGGGCTCAATTGGCAAAAACAGCTAACGTCTTTCATTTCTATCTTCGAGAAAAGAAATTACACTATTTTCCCCACTACTCCAAACAAAATTGTAACATATGCTGACTATCCAAACTGGGGCACTCTCACCCTTAAAATCCCTCATAAGGCTGTTAAAATGTTTACTCCATATGTAGCAACTTCAAATGCCTCATGTGCTCCTTTTGGAAATTGTGCCTCTCAATGTCTGTATCTTCCTAAGAGTACTTGGCATTGTTCTAGTTATGAGCCAATACTAAATACTGTCCTTACGTGTTTAGTCTGTTTGGGATGCCTTGTAATATGCATCCCATCCCTATGCAAAATGTTCACACCTAAAATACTAGCTTCTAATGTGGCAAGAAAACCTAAACTAAAAAAAGAAGGGGGAGATGTAGAGAGGCCACACTGGCTCCATTTTGCCCTGAACACATCTGGTTGACAGTGTTCTGGTAGAAAGTGCATGCCTTGAAACATTCCCCCTCCCTCTTGCAAGGTAAAAACATGAGGTCCCATAAGGACAAGAAGCAAACATGTTATATAACCTAAGCATGTGCAATATGAGTTTCTTTGTTCTTTAACTCACTAAAACCTGCTTGCTTATGCTGGCCACGCAGCAGCCATTTTGCTGACCCTTGGTGTATGCACCCCTTTTTTTCCCTTTGCCTACAGAACTTTTACACTATTTGGGGCCCTTTACAATGCCACTCTCTTCCACATTCTTTCCATACTCCTTTGATCCATCCTAAGCAGAAAACCCCTCATGTCTAACCTTTGATATCCCCGCAACACTTCTATTTGGGGTTTCTCCTTTATGCCAGTAATAGTTTTGAAGTCTATCTCACAGAGCATTTCAGTATTTAAAAAAAGTCAATGATCAGCCCAAGATTTACAATTATTAATTCAGAGACGACAACTTTGTTCCATTCCACTCATACAGATATCACACGACCACATCCACGCAAATGTCCACACTCAGACGTTATTCAGCGATGGACTTTGTGCTTAGTAAGGACACTTTACTCTGCCCTTGCTAAGAGTTTAACATCTGTGCTATTTTTTTCTGAAATCAAAACTCGATGGCTGTTCTCAGTCTGTGAGTAGGGTGCCAACTACATAAATATGAAATTTCTTTTGTATTGCTTTGTATGGTACAGAAGGGTTCACCGGGTGTTTGGCAAGTGCTCCTCCATTGAGGCACATCACCACACCTCTCTAAATTCTTGGGACCTTTGTCAACACCGATTATGAATTTGGAACTCTGAGGTCATACTGGAAATTTAGGAGATCACTGTAAATATAAAGAAGCTGGTTTGAGGAGAGCAGTTGTGGCTACGAGGTCGTGGGTCACAGACATTTATAAACTTCTGGCTTCCAGATCTGTTGCTGACAGGAATGAGAGCAAAGACCTAGGTTTTTACAGCAGCACCCAGCTCCAAACCACATCGGAGTCAGGGTCTCCCCACACCCCTTCCTGTGCCCAGACTGTTGGGAGGACCAAGGGCAGCAAGGGATTTCAAAGATGGCACTGTGGCTTGGTTTACAGGGTTTTAGGGACCCAGAACTGTCCTGGGCCCAGCGAGAGGTAAAAGGGACAGAGGATGACTCAATGCTAGCCCTAGAGGACCTCAGGGTCTGAGGCTAAGTACGCAGGCTCTAGACAACATAGATGCTTCTCACCACTTCTAACTGGTCTCAATCTGATTCTACCCCATTTCACTGCTCCCATCCCACAACATCACCATTGCGTAGCTCGGAGGTCTCCAAGGTTCTTTCTAAGCAGTCCACAGCGAATAGAAGCCACAAAACGCGGTATAGCAATCATCTAGCTCTCCCTATTTTGCCCCGAGACGCAATAGACGCCATGACACCGGAAGAGACCGCCTATCTTTGGCCCGCCCGATTGGTCAGTTCATACAGCCCGCCTCTTCAGCACTGATTGGCTCCTGTTCTCCTGCCCGCCTCCCCCACCAAGAATAATTACGGACACCCCCCCCCCCCCCGTAACTGTGGTTCCCCAATGAAAGATTGTGGAGAGTTCTGGAGCTGGCTGTCTTCTGCAATGTTGACCTCAGCTCCTCTGATGCGTATTTGCACTGAAGGGCTTTACCTCAGCCCCCCCCCCCGCCCCAAAACCCATTATATTTCAAAGATAACAGTAAAAAAAGGGGTCCGGGGTTTTTAGCTCAGCAGCATAAGCGCCTGCCTGGCAAGCTCGAGGTCGTGCATTCGATCCCTGATAACAAAAGAAAGTAAAACTAAAACAAAATTTCAAAACATGTCAGTCAGGGGTCAACAATGGTATCTACATTGCCATTCCCATAGCATTTACACAGAGCATAAGACATCTGTATTCAGTTTTCCAGTTCCAGCACCAATTTTCCTCTTCAGTGAACTCAAGAGAAATCAGTAGTATAACTATCCCATTTAAACATACATATGTATATATATATATTATTCAAATACATGTTTTTTCTTTCAGGTTTTCACACTAATAAAACAAAATGATGTTTACACGTGCGTGTTTTATTTCACTGAGTAGGTTCACAAGTTGCATCCATTTATCTATAAAAGACCCCAGTTTATCCTTCTTTATGGGTACTCCATTGCATAAAAATACATCTTTTTTATCCATTCCTTAGTTGATGGGCATTTAGGTTTTCCCAAAGATCTGGCTACCACAAACTGTGCTGCTGTTAACATGGATGCACATATATCACTGTGGTATGAAGTTTTTACTTCTTTTGAGCAGATACCCAGAAGGGGAATAGCTGAGTTGAGTGGGACCTGTAGACTTAGTTTGTGCGGAATCTCCACACTGATTTCCACAGTGGTTGCATTACCAGCAACAATGGAGAAGGGATCCTTTTTCCCCCACTACCCCTCCAGCATTGGTTATTGCTTGATTTCTTGACAGTAGGCATTTTTTCTGGGGCAAGGTGAAATCTCAATGTTGTTTTAATTTGCATCGGTTAAATGACCAGTGAGGTAGAACATTTTGTCACATATTTATTTGCTGTTTCTATTTCTTCATCTGAGAACTGTGTATTTCATCTCAGATGCACATTTTTGGATTGAGTCTTTAAATCTGGGAAGACTGAATTTTTTGAGTTTTTGGTGCTCTCAATAGTAATCCTTTGTCTGAGGAACAGCTGGCAAACATTTTCTCCCACGTTGTGGGTTGTCTCTTCACTCTGCTGGTAGTTTCTTTTGCTGTTAGAAAGCTTTTCAGATCCCACTTGATTCTAGGTGATGTTGCTGTTCAATCCATGTTTTCTTCATAAAGTCTTTGCTTACATCAATGTCTTCTAGAGTTTTACTTACTCTATCTTCCAGCGGATTTAATGTTTCTGTTTTAATATAAGATCTTGGATCTATTCTGATCTTAGCTTAATACACGTTGAAAGATATGGGTCCAGTTTTAATATTCAGCATGTGTAGAGCCTTTTTTCCAGCAACGTTTATTAAAGAGGCTATCTTTCTTCCAGTGACTGTGTTTGGCACCTTTGTCAAAGATAAGATGGTTTAGTGTGTCTGGGGTTGTTTCTCCATCTTTTAATTTGTTCCTTTGGTCTTTGGGTCTGGTTTTGCTTTGTTTTACTTACTGTCTGTACCACACTTTTTTTTTTTTATCCCAGTAGCTTTATAGTATAATTTCAAGTCAGGGATTGTGAAGGACCCTATCTTGTATTTGTTACCCAGGATCACCTTTGCTATTGTAAGTCTCTTCTGGTTCCAGATGAATTTTAGGATTTATTTTGTGTAATTCTTTGAGATATGCTATTGGGGTTTTGGTTGGGATTGCACTGAATCTGTACAAAGTTTTGGAAGTATGGCCATTTTCACTATATTGATTTTTCCTGCCCCAAAGCATGGGATACCTCTCCATTTTCTAATATCCTGTTCAATCTCCTTCTCAAAAGTACTATAGTTTTCAATATGTAATCTATTAACTAGTGATTTCCTATTGTTTATTTTTTCTGAAATTCTGTACCCTATTTCTGTTTTTTTTTTTTCTTTTTCTCCTTAACAAATAGAGTACTATAGTTTTTGATGTAGAGGTCATTTACATCCTTTGTTAGATTGGTTCCTAATTATTATATTTTGTTGGATGTTATTGTAAAAGTTATTGTTTCCTTGATTTCTCTTTCCACGAGTTTTTTATTCTTGTATATGAAGTCTATTGATTGTTGAGTTTTGACTTTGTAACCAGCTACATTACTGAATTTGAGTATTGAATTAGAAGTCTTTTGCAGGAATTTTTAGGGTCTTCTAAGTAGAGTATCATGTTATCTGCAAATAATGGTATTTTAAGATTTTCCTTTTCTATCTTTATTCCTTTTATTTCTTTCTCTTGTCTAATTGCTCCAGTTAGTTTCCAGGACTATATTGAATAAGAGTGGAGACAGTGGACATCCTAGTATTATTCCTGATTTTAGCGTAAAAGTTTCAGTTTTTGTCCACTTAGTATGAGGTTGACTGTTGGTCTGTCATAAAAGGCTTTTATCAGGTGGAGATAAACATCATCTCTCCCAATTTTTGTAGAATTTTTATTATGAATAGGTGCTGGACTTTGTCAAAATCTTTTTCTGCATCTACTGAAATGATCAAAGGATTTTTGTCTTTGGATTTGTCACTACGGTGTATTCTGTGTATGGATTTATGTATGTTGAACCATCCCTGAATTCCAGCGAAGAATTCCACTTGATCATGGTGTACAGTCTTCTTGATGATGTTCTGCAGTCTGTTTGCCAGTATCTTATTGAGGATTTTTGCTTCAGTGTTCATTAGGCAGATTGGCCTGTAATTCTCTATCTTATTTGGATTCTTCTGTGGTTTTAGTATCAGGGTAATGCTTGCTTCCAGGAATGAATTTGGAAGTACCACTTCCCATTCAATTTCATTGAAAAGTTTGAGAAGTAGTGGTGTTAGGTCTTCTCTAAATTTCTTGTTTCATGGCTACCCCTGCTTTCTTTCAGGGCTCAGTAGACTCTTTGCATAATGGGCTGCAAATGTTTTCAGGATTCAGGTTCAATCCTCCAGGGAGGAATTAATCCCCTGATGTTGGAAAACATTCTGAGCCCAGGCTGGGGCAGGACACAACAGAATAGCAAGTGGGAAGGCTGTGTGAAGGCAGCGGACTTCACTTTCAAGATTTTCACTCTTATCTCTATTAATTTTCCACCTAGAAACCCAGTATGTGAACACAAAATGAGCAGTTACTGTGTAAAGCGAAGACACTACATTTACATGATAGTAATAATATGCAACAGAGTAAAGATGAAAGAAAAGTGAACATCAGGTCTCCAAGACAAGCTTGCTACTCATTCAGACTCATAAAAAGCCTGAATTCTGGAAGTGATCATATTGCCAAGCAATTGCTGAAATGGAACCAAATTCCCAATCCCATTAAACATTTCCTTCTGATGAGCCAGGGACACCTAAGGACTTCAAACTCTTTCTCCTTGCCCTATAGTTCCCTTGACACAAATTGCCACTCTGCTCTTCAGAATTTTAATATTCCTAGAGGGCATCTGTTCCCTAAAGCCAGGTGATCCATTTGTTAAAAACATTTTGGCTTCAGAAATGTGTAGGATATTAGTATGATCACTTCTATGTGTATATGTTGGAGTCATGTGAGTTGGAACCCAAGAACCAAATCTGGTCCCTGGATCCTTCCTCTCAGACCCCAAAACTGTTTTCTGGCTCCTTGACTTCATAAAAAAGTTACCTTTTCCTTTTCACTTCTATTTTCCAAGACATTTCTGCATTGGAAACAGTCAAAACCAAACTTCCCTCATGGAAACAATGAGATAAAAGAGTATATTTTTGTTAAATTCTGTAAGTCGGATATTTTGTACCTGTATAAAAGTAAAGAAATAAATATTTAACATAGTTCAGCTAGGTGTATGTCCTAAATAATTTTTCAAATGTATCAACTCATTCTTCAACTAATTGTGTGAATGAGTTTTTAATCTATGAAAACCCTTGACAGTTTTTCATCATGTACCTATTCAATTTGAGTCCAGCAATTCTTTGCAGATCAAAACCACTAATTTCCTGTACAGTCCATTGTCTGCCAAGCAGGCAGAACTGCCTCGTTGCCAACAGGCATCTGGTGATGAATTCATGGTTGAAACGAACTGCTAGAAACACCTAGACTCATGGTACATAGTACTTAGCAAGCTGATGGAGGCCTCCTTTATTATCTACCAATTTCACTTGTAAGTACGACTTAGAAAAATTTGTGCAGAATACTCACAGTGATGTGAAGAGGTGTGTGATCATGCCTTCTGAGAAATCACTATAATACCCCTCAATACATTAATAATGTAGCATATGTTGATATGGTAGCAATATGTTGATAAGGTAGTAATATGCTTTTTGATAGGTAGCATAACACTTCCATCTACAGGTACCGAAAAGCTTACATGCAGTAAACTTTTCAGGAAACTTACAATTATCCTATTTGGAAGTTAATTTTCTTTTGGGGCCTATACCTAAATCTCCGGGCCCAAACAAGTACACAGCAAAAGACTAAAAGAATGAGACAAGTGGCATTCTCTTGAGGGCAGCAGGAAGAGTGAAATCCTCTTCAGAGTTCATAACTCTGCTAGCCGGCCAGCCAACTTTCACTAGGCAGCCCATATTTAATCAGAACAAGCAAGGAATTGAGTGGACAATGGAGGAAACCTGAGCAGGCTTCTGGGACAGATTCAAGGAACCCTCAGAGCAACAGATGATGCTAATTAAGGAAAACCATCCAGCAATGGCCTATATTACTCCTTGAGGTGTCTCCTCATTCTCCCTTCAATCATGCTTAGGCCACACCACAGCCCTGCACATGTATTCAGCTTCAATGCTTTCCAACATCTCTC